CCCTAGGTCTTCACAATCAGTAATTTATCAAAGGTGCTCCAAGTTGTTTTAAGTGATTGGCCTTCATCAACGACATATTTGGATGGGTACTCAGGTGAGGTTATGGCCTAATTTAGGTTCCCTGCTACATGCAGTATCTAGCTAGTTCTTTTCAGTTTCTTTCCACAAACAGGGTGTATAAGTGAGGAGGAAGGAAGAAAGGGAAGGGACTGGGCCTATTCCTAAAACTCATGGGAGAGCTTTGGATCAGGTGGAAAGTGCCCAGATTAACCTTTCTCTAGTGCTCTAACAGAAGGCCAAAATACATGCTTAATATAATTATACCTGTTTGGGAAGACGATGAACTGGAGTGAATTAGGATAGGGGAAATGCACAGGAAAGTTTAAGCCGTTTCTCCATTCTTCATGTTGTGGGGAATCTGGGAGCCTGTGCTACTTCAGAGAAGTTATTTTTAACTCATGCTCGGGTGGGGGGGGTTGTTCACTGGAAGCCATGGACAGCTGTAGTATATCACTGGCGAACAGGGTCAGAACCTATGTTTCAGACTTACCCTAAATTGACTTTCTAAATTAATACCGCTCTTACCTTTTGGCATAAGCACAGATATTGTCAATCAATGGACAGTTCTTCAGTGCTGCCTCTACTTTGCCCAGAGATACATACTCTCCTGCTTGTAGCTTTACCAAGTCTTTTTTACGATCTAGGAGTCAAAACAAACAAACCTCAACAACAACAAAAAGACTTGCTGCATTCATACTTTTGCATTTCCACAGACTCATTTGTAAAGCCACTCCATGCCATGTACTTTGCACAATGCTGTGCGAGAGTCTTAAGAGTTACAGCATCTTACTCAAATTATAAAGCAGTTACTAGTATGTACATATTCGGGAAACTTTTTTTTTATATATATAAAAGACCTCTGTAAGAAAGTTAGTAGTGTGCTACACGTCTTGTCACACAACTTGTATGAACGTGATGGGAGTTCTGATTCTTAAAATATGTAGTTAATACTGAAAATTGATCTTATGTTTATTTTTTTTCAAATTCCATGTGCTAAATTTATATAGTGATAATGTCACAGGAAACAGTGTAATTTCCAAAATTTCCCTGTAGCCATGAGAACTTTTGGGAACATCTTTTACACGGTGATTCTGCAAGCAGGTAACTAAGTTAGCCCTGGCAAAGCCAACAGGATTAAAAATGTGCTTATTATGCTTAGTCAAGATTTTGTAATGGATTGACATAGCAAAAATTGAGGCCAACCTATGATCTGCAGACATCCATCTGGATGAAATTCCCCTATATCGCCAGTACAAAACCATCTCTGGCCATTCTCATCAATGGAGAAATCTTCTGAGGTCTTCTCTTCGTTTTTAAAATATCCCATTGAGACATTAGGCCCGCCAATTACAATTTCTCCTCTAGGATTAGGCTTGTCTCTATTGGTATAGCCCCCTAAAAAAAAAAAAAAAAAGGTATTTTTGAAACATCTTATTGGCAGCAAAATATATGTTTTGAAAACTTTTGCTTGAAATTTGTGCACACACAAATTAATGACTGTTATAAAAGATAATGAACGATTACTTTCTACTGCCCCCAGCTAAGTAGTACTAAATTAATTACTGTGAGGTCAAAAGATTTAACGCTCTCACCTTCTTGCCAGTCTCGCAATTTAATTTCACAACAAATAAGAGGCGCTCCAACTCTGCCAGTGCTGTAATCAGCAACTTAGGGAGAGAAAAACAAAGAAGAATAAAGAGATTTTTTCATTTGAAATAGAAACACAAACCATAAAATAGGATGACAGCTTATCTCAAGTTACTTTATTGCGCTTAAGAACTACAACTATTCTGACTTTACCTTAGGGGAAAAAAATTTTTTTTTTTTTTATATATGTATTTCTAGAAACATTTTAACTACCTTCTGTAATTGTTCCAGCTCCGCATGTTTCTGTTAATCCATAGCCTTGGCCAACAGGACAGCAGAAACAGATGTTCATGAATCTTTGTGTCTGAGGTGAGAGTGGTGCTCCTCCAGAAAGCATCATACGGATATTCCCTCCTAGTAATGCCTTTACTTTTTTAAATAATAGTCTTGAAAAAAGGAAATATGTGTTTAAACGTCATTCATTCATTCACCTTATTTGGAGAGAAACCTTCCTCTTCCTCCTTATATAGGACACCTTAAAAATAACTTAATCATGCACAGATACTAATGGACAGCAGAGAAAAACAAAGTACATCTTGTGTAACACTTGAAGATAGCAGAATTCCTTTAGTTTACCTAAATAAACAATCCAATTTTGATTACTAAAAAAAGTAATCCAATGAAAAAATAACTGCTGCTCTGAAGATTAGTCATTCTTACTGGAAACAGGGAGTATATATTTAACAATAAGAGCTTGGATTATTTCAGTTTAGGCATTAGATCATATTTGCATGTTGGATTAGAATTATCTGATGTCAGATAGTTTATATGATTATTCTATTAGACTGTCTTAAACCACGACGAAAAATACATTTGGACCATGAATTATACTTACACGTTACAAAGAGGTGCATCATATCCCCTTTTGATTTGTTCCAATTTGTAGTCATAGCCTATCTTGAACAGGGTTCTCTGAATATAGTTCATCTCTTGAACTTTACTCATGACATTTTTATAAATTCTGTCCATTATTTCCTGCAAAAATGTTAAAAAGGGCAAAGAAAATTATCACATGGAATCTCTATCGTGTAGAATTCTCTATCAACAACAGCTACAAATTTTGGGTAACATGCTGTAGTGTAGTAAGGCTTACAGTGTTGATACATTGCTTACATTACTAAGAACACTTTAACCTGTACTTAAAATATGATAAACTGATTTTCAAAAATCTTGAATTCAAATTTAGCTAAATCTCTTCACAAAAGGTTGGGCTATGCCATGGAAGATCAGTCACGCTTAGGAGTCCTGATGCTGTACTTTATCCATGGCGATTGGCAAGCACAAGGGAACGAGCTAAAAGATTTCGTTTCACCACTTCCTTTTCCAAGAGAAGTCTGTCTTTCAACTTTCAAAGCAGTTGCCTGTTCAGTAATTCAGTTGCCTGACAGAAAAGCACAATTCCGTCACAGACGAGAAATAAGAGGACACAATCTTCATTTCAATTAAAACAATAAGTTTATAATCAGTGAATGATACAGAACTTAAAGGAGCCAATCCTTCAACTTCTATTAAATACTTAACATTGACTGATAAAGTATCTTATTTCATAGCATTGTGCTCTGTAATAATTGCATGCTTTGTAACAAGAGGCAAATTAGTGTATACTAGTTGAAAACAAAGCTATGAAAATTTAATATTTTGATCTCTTGATATTTCAGAATAAGTCAGTCTTAATAGAAACTGCCCTGATTAGTTTTTTGGAATATTTCCTCAAATCTTCATGATCTGGATTTACACAAACTAGAACTTTAAAAATAAACTGCATACTACTTTCAGGCTAGTTTAGCTACAGAATATCTGATGTTTCTAAAGGACAAAATCTTAAAGACAAAGCAGGATTAACTGTAGCTTTTTGGAAGGACTGGTGACACAACAAGGTCTTTGGAATGAACGCCTAGAAGGAACCATTAACATCTATTACAGACTTCTGTTAGAATTAAATATTTAGAAATATTTGCCTTTGGATTCTATTATAATTATTTTCTATTTCATTCCTTATACATTCTAATAATAGTAGCAATGTTATTATCTGAAGATAAAAGTGGGGCCGTACTTCTAGGGACAAAAATACTAAGCCAGTTTTATTTATTAGACTAATTATAGGAAGTTACCTCTGCCTACAAATCTTCTTATACATTTTTCAGCTGCCTTGTATTTTAGGTTGTTGCTAGATAGTTTAGACAGATTTTCACTGATGACATGCAGATATCCCATCTCCTATACAGGAAATAACCAGGCTATATAGCCTGGAATTGTATACAGGAAATCTAAATCGGTCCTTCAAAGTTGTTACGTTAGACAGGTGTTGTTCATACTAGGGCTTTTTGAAGGTGTGTGTTTTTTGGGTTTTTTTCTCCCTTTTTTTGCTGTAGATTGTTGAACTCTAGGTCTTCTCTGCTATCAATTGAAAATGGACCACCTGTTTCAAGTACTTTTTCGTCTGTTAGCTTCTTTGTGATAAGTCTGTAGAGTCAAGACGTTTAAGGGTTTTTTCAAGATGTTTCAGCATTATCACTGTTCACGTTTCATGGTTAATTCATATAAAGTTGTCTGCATGGACTTTTTTCTTTGCACATCCAAAAAAACCGTAGTCCTTTTGAGAAGAGATTATGCCATATTTAAAACTTATTGTTTCTACTAGCAGTCCAGCATGCAGCTGATTTGAAGTTATTTTCCTCAGGAAATAAATTTAAGTGGTTAAGAACCCTAAGAAGAGTAGAGAGACTTTGGGCTAAGTTTTACTTTGCAATGAGGCAGCTGAGAGGGGGCACCCCAGCAACTACAGCCGCTCAGCTTAACTAGCTAAGCTTCCGTAACTCAGCCAGATGCTCGTTCCCTTAAAAGGGTCCATGGTAACCAAAGCTGCCCTACTTTCTCCTGTGCAAAAAGAACTTTCAGACTGTGCATACCCAACACTTTCTGTATCCGATTGTTGCATCAACAGTCTAGTAAAATGTCATTTATAAATTATTAATGGACATTTACAGTTTTGGATCAAAATGGGTCTTGGCTTTCATATATGTATATTCTTGTGCTCATGTCTGCAGCATCAGTATGCTGCCTTAAGCAGCAGTAACTACAATTTCTATATTCCACTTTCTTGCCTGCCTGTTAAAATGACAGTTTCTTACACAAGAAAAGAAACGCCAGTAAATGGATTTTGCTAGTACGTACAAAGTAGAAAGCACCGTTTTGCTAAACTCGTTGTCAGCTTTCCTATACTTACAGGCACGGCTGCCATCAGCGTGGGCTTTAGTACAGTACAGTCTCCTTTGCTTCCTTTCTTAATTTTACTTGACTGTAATACAGAAAAAATGTGACTTTATGAAACCAAAAACCATGCAGCTCTTCAGAAGAAGACTAAAAATAAAGAGGGAGATGAACTAATATGCAATTTCTGTAAATCTCCTCCCATGCCCCCAAAAAGCATTTCCCGCCTAATTTTTTTTTTTCATTGCAATGGGAGAAGTACCGATTAAAAACCAATTTCAACCAAAATACGAGATATTTTACAAGCTCAACCTGGTAAAGCAATTCCACTTTGTATATCTTTTTCTCTTATTTCCCCTGCAGTACTTGCTTTCTCCCCAGTTTTCCTCCCGCAGTTTCTTTTGTCTGATGTAAACTTTATACAAGCAAAACATGCAGAAGCCTTCTCTTCCAGATTAATTTGCTTTAATTTATAATAACTGTTAAACTGAAAAATGTAAAGAACTAAATAGAATATCTGCAGTAACTAAAGAACTAATAAAGTGAGTGTAAAAACTTAAAATCACTTTAAGCAGTCTTGCATTCAGTTAGTCTATTAATAGCTGTTGTTCATCCTGATGGTCCATTGGATGATGCTATAGCATTTATTAGTTTTTTTTCAATTTAAGTATCAAACACAAAAGATTTTAATAAAATGTTAGTATGATCTGCTGCTGTAGTTTCACCAGGAATGTTAATGTACATTTTAGAAACAATTATTTTATGAAAACACATGGACTTACTTGAACTGCACTATTTATATCAACGCTTCTTCGTTAAGAGAGGATAGCTGATCAAGAACATAGACTAGGAATGCTTAAGTTTGCTTAGTTTTCTCTTACCTGATCTGACAGTGTGAGTGGGGAAGAATATCCAATCCTGCAGCCATAAGTAACACAAGAAATTTCTGCTGTCAATTCTAATACGTGGGCCAGAGGCAAATAACCAATATAAGTATCCTTGGGCCTAGTAAAGGAAAGAATTGTCTGATTAATAGTGATACATAGGTGGACTAAAAATACTGTTCAAGAACTTGGTGTACTTAGTTACTACTTTTTGAAAGACTTAAATCACAAGTGGGATTTATTCTGCATCCAAGAAGGGTGTGATCACAAACTGTAGTCTGTAAACTAATGTAACTAAACTGAAATCAGTAAGTGTGAAAAGTGTGAATTCCAGGCTCTGCCTTGTTTTCTAGGAAACAACGTTTCCCTGGTGTTTAACTGCCACTTCTCCTTGTTGGGGATTTTATCCCAGTTACCACATTAAGACTGAAGTCACTTTTTATTTTAAAACAGCAGTAATAAAATAGCAGTATCTCCTTCTAAAATAGAAGAGTAGAAAGAGACCTGGTCAGTGAAGTACTGAGGCTTATTCTAGGAAATACAGAGATTTCTCAGGAAGAAACTTAGATTTGTCAGTTAATAGAAACCTTCAGCATCAATTCAGAACTGCTTTTATAACCCACTACAAAAGGGCTAAAACATAGCTTATTTTTTTAGCTATTATTACATCCTTCATGAATGCAATGACAAGGGCACATACACTTGTTCATGAAAAATTTCCTCAATACTAATAAGGGAGTTCGCAATTAGTTTTACTATCATACTATCAAAAAAAAACGTATTACTTGGCTGCTCGCTTCAGTGCGGTATACTTGAGCAGGTGCTGCAGGATGTGTATTATGATCCATACAGCAATGCTCTCTCTAGATGAGCAGGAATGGTAGGCTTTGACTTGCTTCTTAAAAATTATTCTGGGTGTCTCAAAACATGTACCAAGAAAAGCTCCCACATTTGATTAGATGTGCAATCTCCTTATCTGGTGACCTCTCTTGAAGCATAACTGGGAGTGCAGAATACATCACAGAATCACAGTTCAGGGTAATGGGAAAAAAAGGTAGAAAAAGCATATGAGACAAGAGCTAAAAGGGCATACTTTGCAAAGAACAGGGTGCGTTCACAACCACTGTGTTTTTCATACGAATTTAGGATTAGCAGTCGCCAAATAAAATGAAGAAATTTGATAAGAGCTGGTACCAGTAATAGGCTCTGTACAAACTGTTTTTAGTGTTGTTTTCCCTCTCCATATATGTGACAACTAAGTGTTTCTTACCCCAGCCCAGGTATTCTTTCACACTGTCCCGTCATTCCAGCTATCAAGTTTTTATGCATCATCATCACTCCTTTAGGTTTTCCAGTAGAGCCACTGGTGTACATTACTAAAGCCAAGTCTGTGGGAACAGGTCTGCTTGGCAGAACACTTACTACAAAATAAAAGAGAAAGATCATATTAATTCTTATAAACTTTCTAAATTGTTATTTCTGTAATTAACCAATATGAAAACTTCTGTAATCAACCAGTGTGGAACAAGTACTCCAGCAAGGGCGAGCACAATATGCTAAGTGGTCTGTGGTGGATGCAGAAGTCGGTGAGGAAGAGAATAGCAGTCGGTTCTTTTTTAAAGAGGGAGTGAGGGAACGCAGTAGGTTTCCTAAGGACTAAGTACTGAGACGCTTATGCAAGACAACACATAATCTGGACCATACTTTCGCCATTATGTTTTATAGCTGACTAAAAGTTTCATAGAAAAAGCCTGGTGAAGATGGAGCAAACCTGTGAAAGGTAGTGAATGGGAGAAACGCTGTATTAGAGGGAAACAACAAAGTTTAAAAAAGCTGCACGTTAGCTTTCCCATCAGTTGTTCCAAAGCCTGGGTTACAGGGTTGAAAAGGTGTGTTTTTCTTTAATTTTCTTTTTTTCAAATTGAACCTTCCTCGATTAAGTTGCTAAATAGTGGAAAAGCAGTAAGTTTGTAATAGTTTATTTCTAGTTTTTATTTTAATCCTTTGACATTTATTCTGTCTACCCTTAGGATGAAAATCATTGGCTTTCATGACTTCCCTAACTAGGGAGGCAGCAGAAGTGTCTGACAGGAAGCATAGTTAGGGCGTTTCAATACAACCTTCAGGTTAGCTGCTGGTTTGTATCAAGCTGGTCAAAGATAAGTAGTTGCAATGAATATGCACTTCCCTGCATAAAGCTTTACCAGTTTAGCTCCTCTTTTTCAGGAGTGAGAAGATCTAGCGAAGTCCGGGGGGGGGGGACCAAGGTTGGTTGTTCCTTCCCTAAAGGAACTGTTCCTCTCCTACAATCACTCCTAGCTGCCTGAAGTAGCAAGGGAATAATGTAATGGTTATTCCTCTAGCCCAAGATGCTTTCTAGCCACAGGCTGGATCAGAAAACGTTTTTTCCAAGCAAACAAACAAAAAAAAACACAAGTGCTTTCCCCTTTTTCCTTAGGGCAAATAGTAAAAAATAAGAGAAAGAAAAAGTAAAAATAGCAGAAAAATAGAACGCTACACCAGATTCTACTTTACTTCCTAAAATAAAGGTGTATTTTTAGAGTTCAGTTATTCTGGTCATGTTTTATATGAGTTAAAAATAAGGTTTTATCTTGAAATACCTGAAACTTGAACAAAGTGACAGGACAATAAATAGGAATTAAACAAACATTTCTAGTTTTATGTTTATTTAAAGGAAACCATAGAGACCTGTGTGGTTTTTTTCTCTCTTACCCAACTGTTTTAACCTGGCTCTGATTTCAGCATTATATCGCTTGATTAGTTCTCCAAGAAATGATTGACTTACAGTTTTCTGGTTTGGCTCCCAGCTCTTCTACTGTTTGCATACTATGAATCTCCATGTTTTCAGGGTATTCAGATTTATTGATAGTCTTCTTACCCACATAAATGATATGTTTAAGACAGGAGACTTCTGGCAGTGCAGTCTACAGAGCAAAAAGGAAACTTTTAGCACTGACTGCACTGTAACGTCGTTTGGTTGTTTGTGAACAGGTGAAACTGGTGCCAAAGTTACCTTAAGTCAAAGGTAAGGTTACCTTACCTTAAGTTTGCTCTCAAGAAGTTCCACACTAGTGATCAGATATGATGCCCCACATTCATTGAGACCATAGGTTACTGCCTCTTCACCCAGCGTGGCATATAAAGTAACAACTGTTACATTAAAAGAGGGAGAACAAGAAATAAAAGTTAAAATCAAGGTAATACTAAATGCAAGCGTGTTTTGCTTTAGCTCATTAGAAAGCAATGTTTAAGAAAAAAAAACAAACAAAACCCCACAAAAACAGGCTTTATGAGAGCTTAATTAGGAAATAAAACAGCTTTTCATTTTGCTATATCAGAATTCTATGCAGCAAGAGACCTCTGGAATGAGGAGGACAGTTGTACGGAGGAAGAAAAGTCATCAGAACACCACCAACAAAAAAAAGCCACTAAAACCCAACAAAAATGCACTAAAGCAGTTGTACAATAAGCAACTGAGAGCATCTGGTTCTTCCTCCGGGTTCTCTGCAGCCAGAGCTCTGGGGGAGAGGAGACGATGCTCTGAACACCGCAGGGCACCAGGCACTGGGTATAGCCTTGTACTTTAACAAGCAGCTCTTTCAGCAGCAGTGCCAGCTTATGCAGCCCCGCGTCAGCTACTTTGCTCATTCCAGTGCAATTATTGATGGGAGCATGGCAGAGAATCAGATTAACTTATCAGACCCTTTTTTTCGTGTTGCTAGATTATTTTGAACCCTGATCAGCTACAGTGATGCTCTAAGCGCCTCACAGGCGCTGAGAAGTTCGCTCTTTCCAATCATCTGTGTTTGAAGGGAAAGAAAAAGGAAAAAAAAAAAGCAAAGCTTCCTTTAGTACCGTACTGCTATCCCAAACTCTAACCCCCAAAATAACATTAAAGGAGACTAATATTCCCGTGAAATGGGGATCATTTGGAGGGCTGAAAAGAGAGTAATGCAATATAGCTGATGTTTTCTCCCGCTCCAAGCGTGAGGCTTAAGATCCAGTTAACCACCTCATCCTATTTCAATAGCAATGTCAACTTCTACGTTACTGCCATTTCGCACTCCCTCTGCATACTCTGTTGAATTGCCACCTCCTCACACAGTCCACTACTACTAATACTAGAAGAAAAAAGGCACACCTAGTGCAAACAAAAACGTAAGGAGGCAAAAAAAAAAAAAAGCTGTGGGTCATAGGGTGTTGTACGTGAAAGTGGCATGTAAGTACAGAGTAATCCGTCACCACTGCACCAAGAAGTTAGCATGCATCATCAGCTATGAGTTTTTGACTGCTTAATTTAAAATAAAAAAAGTCATACATACATTGTAATGAATATGAAGCCCTTAAAAGGTAACAAATCTTCCCTCAAACTAGCATACAATTTTTGATTATTCTAACGTTCTTCTCCTTTCCAAAAACTGCTTCTCGTTTCAGATGATACGGACAGAAAATGCTATAAACACATTCCACAGTTTTGAGGGGGGGGGGGGGGGAGGGGCAATTACTTCTTCAAAGTGTTTTAATGACCAATGAATTGTAATTTACTTTCCTGTCCATTCTAACATCTAAAATGCTGTTAAAAAAAAAAAGCATAAAAGTCTGATAAGCATTAGCAAGTTAATTTTAGGGACCTCTACTATGTATGAAATATACTGGCAATTTCAAAAAAAAAAAAAAAAACCCAGCCTATCTACAGAGTAAGTTTATTAAATTCTTATACCATCAGTGACAGGACTGGCACATTCAAAATACTTAACAGCCAAGCCATGGCTGAGAAATGTTTCTAAAATATATTAAATGTAGACAAGTTCATCACTCACGAGGAAAGTTGTACTTGAAGCAGGCTAGTGCTGCAATCATCCATTCTGCTCGGGTCTCACAGAAGATAACGACAGTACTCCTTGGGGTTAGTCCCAGTGCAGCCAGTCCGCTCCCCAGGTGATTCACTTTCTGATTTACTTCTTCGTAGGATAACCATTTGTAAGTTCCTAAGATTAACTGGTGGAAAAAAAAAAAAATTTTTTTGTGATGACAAGAAGCTGCTGGTAACGTGAGTTGGTGCAAAACATCAAAAGCACATGTTGCAATTCATTGAAATTAAAAAAAAAAAATCATTGGTTTCCATTTTTCTTGAAGTAAATAGTGCACGCTGTAGTGGGTTATTCTTGAAGTATTATCAAATGGATTTCTTTTTTTTTTTAATATCAAAATGAAGAAAAGATTAAGGAAGACCCCCTCCCCCTCATGAGTCCACCACGGATACAAAGCAACTCAAAACTAAATAAGAATTAAGTACAAAATTATAAATTTTACCTTTTTAAACACTTTTCCATTTGGTTGCATTTCATTTTCTTCACTGAGTATTTCTCTGGTCCCGAGGCAATCCTTTTTCCCAAACTTTGCTAAAGCGTGGTCAAACAGCTTGTCCAACGTGTCTGCTCCGGGAATGTTTATGTTTGCTAGTGACTCGAGATGAGTGACAGAACGGTAGGGGCTTCCAGGTTTGTCCGAGACGGGTTTAGCTTTTAAACGTTTTGCCATAGCCTTTTTCTTCTTAGCATTGGTAAGAAAATACCATGGAATAAATACAAGCATACTGTACACAGATATTAACAAGTACACAGGCAGCAAGAGAATGGCACATACTTCTAGCCTAAGTTTCATTGTGAATATTAAAAGTCTCTTAGTGTGCTCTGAGGGCCTGAGCGCTGAAGAAGGCAAGAGTGAAGCAGCAGTGCAGTATGGTGTGGGAAAGAGCACAATAAGTGAAGTTTGTTTCAAAGCAGCAGCTAAAATTTTAGTAGCCTTTGAGAGCCGACAGTGGACACCTGTGGGTGAAGACCAGAGCCAAGCAGAGAGCAGGAAAAAAAAAAAAAGAAAAAAGAATTAAATTAGTAATATTATAATCAGTCCATTAGTTTCAATCCTTTAAGATTTCACCTCAAATGCATCGAGACAAAGGAGACTGAAGTAACCGGGTTGAGAGGCTGCATGATATAGCAGCATACGGTTTTGAAGATTAAAGACTCTTTTCCATACTTGTTTGCTGCATCCACAAATATTTACTTTTCAGAGTCTTTTCCACATTATCTCTGTTTGAATAGTTCAGGGCTGTTGAGGTGAAGTCTGTCCTTCACATCATAATATTGTGTTTAAGCTACTTGAGTAATGCTACAATTGCGTAATTACAGGCAAAGGTCAGCAGTTTTTTTTTTTTTTTTCCAACCTAAATATTTGTATTAGAGTGGAAAGACAGAGTAGGTTTCTTTACTGCCTTTCAGAATGTTATATTAACTTATATTCAGATTCAGTTGTGTCTTGATACAGATTCCTCAGAAAAATACATGTTATAATCTAAAACCTAAATAATATTCCAAAATTGCTTCCCCAGCAACTGAATTTTTAATCTGTAACTGGTCTTTCCAACTATGGACGTCAGACTCTTGGAGAGGTATTACATAGATTCCCCTGCCCCTAAAAGCTACGCCTATAGGAGCATTTCTCGAGTCCAGGTATGAAAACATGGAAGCCAATTTAACCAGTTTAATCCAATTTAAAGTAAAGCCAAATTTGGCAAGATTTTGTCTGCATGCCAGAAATCACTCCTCATTAACAAGAACCGGCCTGAATAAAGACTGAAGGCACAGGAGAGAAAAAAAGCAAAGCTGCCATAACAAACCACGACGGCGAGTAGCCCACCGGTCTAGAGCTTGCCTGCACTGGCACATAAAAGCTGTAGGGTCTCATCAGCATCCGTGCAGCATTGCAAGCACATCTCAGACAGTGCACACAACAGGAAAAATAAAAGGCAAAGGGGCATTAACAAAAGAGCAGTACCTCAAACACGTAGGGGACTAATGCTGACTAGTTTATAGCAAAACCCTGTCTTTCGTGGACAGAATCTCATTAAATGGAACAGATGAAAACGGGGAAATATTCAGGGCTCCATCAAAACTTAAAAGAATGTGGGCACACCTCACAATGGACCTGTATTTACATATTTACCACCCCAGGTGAGGGAGGCTGTGATTAACTTAACAGGTTAAACACGACAGCTGCTGCTAACATCACAACAAGAAAGCTATTAATAGGTGTTTGCTTTTTTAATGAGAATGCCAAGATCTGCTGTCACGCGTAGCCAATGTCAACATCATTCAGGGTAATGTAAGATTGAGAGATTTGCAGATATTTAAGAAAACATGATGAACATGCTGTATTTGTAATTACATCTGTGTAATCAAATTACTATGTAATGGTAGTGTCATGTACTAAACTAAGCTCAGACTTGTTCAGAAAAAAAGGATATTCTGTGTATTTCTCTTTATAAAAAGTGAATTCTGCATTCTTTTCAAAATTGATATGCTTATTCTGCTGTATTTAACCTTTTTATCATCATCAGAGTACTGCTCTCAGCATACAGTTATACCTCAGCATAAGAGATAATAGTTGTATTCCCCCAAGCTCCAGTTTTCTAAAATGAAAGTCACTGATTTGTATTACAAATCTTGTATGATATTTTCATTCTAGTTAATTCAGTGCTCCAAAAGAAGCATTTGAGCTCATCCGTAAAACAAAAGCCAGCCATAGTGCTAAGACTACAGTTAAAAACTACAGTGCATAACCATGATTAGACACGATACATGTTAAAATAAGCACCAAAGAGAGTCCAGCAAAAAGCACACCACCAAACACAACTACTTGGATTAAAAAGCAGACTTGTTGGACTATGCAAACAACTTACTAATGAAGCAACGCTGTCTTTTATTTTGGCTGAGTAGTAGTTTTTCACAAGTAGCCCCACTGGTAGTCAGTCAGCTTCTTGCTAAGCAACAAAGACTGAAAGGGAGGAGAGGAATGGGCTAGTGTTTACTGAGATACAGATTGCTGGAAGAGTCAGACTTTTATTAATGTCTAATAGTCTCTCTTAATATACACCAATTGCCATTGTCTCACCTTTCCACTGCTCTTTTCCACTATTTATTACATCTACTACTACATCTGTCCAGTGGTGAATCAAACTGAAGTCTTTGGAGCGAGGACTCCCCCCTGTTTTTTCATCCTATCTACAATGATTGGGACCTGCTTACGTCATCATCTAAGAACAGGTATGATGCAAGTAACACAGCAGTGAACTACATCAGTATTGGCATCATTTAAACAGTATTTCACACTATCCAATTCACATATTATTACCATTTGTCAATACTGAGTCTTTAAAAGTGAACTTAGATGCAGAAGGGATTGTGAAACTGTGTGTGAAGAGGACTGTATTAAAAGAAAAAAAAAAAAACCACATCCTACTGATGTCATCTAACAATCCTTTCTGTATGCATGAAACACATGATTTTAAATAATGACATGATCTTCAAGCTGACTTAGCAACAAACTTAACTCAGTGTTGAACACTAATATATGAACTTCTACAGTTTACTGGCACAACTGTCTAATACGCTAAGAAATGTCTTGAGAATGCTCAAGACGCTACCTGAAATAATAAAATATTGATAAAAGTGTCTGAATGGGCAGGAGTGTTGGTTTTGTTATTTTGCTGCTAAAATTACTGATCTCAGTCCTAAAACTGGCACCCTACTATTGAAATCACATTTAATGCTTGAAGTAAGTGCATGTATAAACACACTTTGTATGCATGCAGCCATTTATGTTAATGTTCACATAAGCAAAAGTTAAGGTTTGATTTCTTCCATTCTGAAGTTTCAGATTAGTTAGAACTACTGCAAGTTTTTCTAAACACAAATAACTTAGCTAGTTTGTACACAGTTGTGGTACCTCAAAAGACTTCTATTTTAACAAAAATCAGTTGGAAAGCTTAACAGAGATCAGTTGGAGAAACTCAGTAAGTCACAAACAAATAAAAAGACACACTTGAATTTTCTCTTTGAACATTTTCATATAAAACCGAACACACACACACACCCCCCTATATGTACTTACAGGATATCTGACAGTGATGACTGAGTTCTAGTCAACGTCAATTAGATCTATATTAAAAATATAAAAGCAAAGAAAGTATTAGGGATTGGCTGTTTCTTTGGCCCTGAAGAAAAGGAAGTGATGCAGGAAAGCATTACTTCCAATATTTTTAGAAAATCTAGCATGATGCTCCTGAAGAACAGCCTGCCAATTTAGACAAAGGTGGTATACGCTAGCCATACAAGAGCAGCGCAATGAGAGTATTCAAAAAGACTAAGCTTGCAAACTACAGTGTACAAATAAAGCTACACAAAAGGAATTTAATTTTAATGGGAAAATTGTGCAACTTGTTCACTTCCATTTAAACATGTTCTGAATACAGCTATGAACAGCGCTTATTTTAAGAATATTAAAAAAAAATAAAACAAGAAAGAAACCTCAAGAATCCTTAGAGTCCATTCTTCTCTCTCATGGCAAAAACAAGACCTATATCATTCTTGAGGGTTGATTATCAGCAGGAGCATTAACTCAGGACTACCCACAGCGTGCTCTTGCCCAGAAGAGCAGTCCCAAGGAACACGAACCAGAGTTTGGATATTGCAGTAAGAGAATTTTCAGAACAAAAACGAGGATACATAGCCAGCCAGGCCTCACGGGTTCCGTGAGTGAATAAACCAGATCCCTATAGGTACCTGTAGGGATATCACTTTAAAAAGTCTACTGCATAACTCAGACTACATGGTTTAATGTACAGAAGACTTTTAATAATGTTTACACTAGTTATATTTTACTGTCCTTCCCCCATGAGTCTAAGATGCCAATCAAGGTGCCACTTTTTACGGGCAGAAACCCTGCCATACATCCCTTCAGAAATATTCCTATAAGCATTTTTTCTTAAATTATTAAACAAATAAGAGGCATGACAATGTTTTACTGGTACTTGCATGTGACTGTATATGGTTTTGATATTCACCAGTAATAGGCCCATCCCAAACTCATGCCAAACAAAATAGTTATTGCTTTTTTTTTTTTTTTTTTTTTAAATATAATGCACACTGGACTAATATACTGAACTTGCCAAAAAGAAAAAAAAAACCTAGATACCAATTCCATTTGCTTATAAGCCAAACTTAACTATTCAAATTACATCTTCAGCCTTCAACATTTTTTTCAAGTTTAATTAGTCTTTGAGAGAAAGGGAGAACGAGAGCAGTAATGTTCATATCGCTGCACCAGCAAGGATATCATCAAGGCAAGCCAAGTATACATTACTGCTAAAGTACAACAGTTATGTTACTAGTAAGCTCCCTTTCCCCACAAATAAATGGAGCTTACATACTGAAAATTTCACTCCATTAAAATAAAGCTCTATTCTAATACTAAACAATTGAAAACATATATTTTATATTGACATACAAAGTTTATCATTTGTCTTAATTGTGCAATGCAGCTGAAATATTTGGAAGCTTATCTCTCCGTTTTGGAAACGGCAGAGCTTCCAGTTCTTGATGTAGGAAACGTATGTTCCCAGCAATAGCAATCAACGTGCGTCAGGCATGACTACGCTCTTAGAAAAGTAACAGATGTAGTTTCTGTCTTAGCTGTTTTCAATATTTCCAAAGGATTTTCCTCAAGTGACTCAGCTTCTCTCATCAGTTTGGAAATGGTAACTCTCCAGACCAGAGCGCACCCTTTGCGAGGATGTGTTGCAGTGCACATATCAGAGACCTCACGCGCAGCGTGGTCGTATTTTCCTTACTACTGGTACATGCTAGCTGTTTACAGAAATGTTATAGGCCAAGTTTGCTGTAGAAAACAAATAAGTGACATGAATGCTCATACAAGCACCAACACTGTATTTTGTGCCAGAGATGAAAGATGTTCTTTCAGTCTACTCTGACTTTGATACGCTCAGTTGAAAGCTTCAGAGACAGCCTATAAAACGCAACCCTTCATTCTTGTCCAGCAGCCAGGTCCACAGAGCAAAGTTTGGAATCAGAGCCCAGGTTGCGGAACACAAGAGACGGCCCTGTTTTCATAATTTTTCATGAATTTAAGAAAACATATGGAAGAGACAGCACATATTCAATTTTTATTTATTTTACAAAAATAGCTTTTAAATAAGCATACGCTTTTGTGACTAAATTAAGAGCGATCGTTGAGGGGGGGCAGAGGTTCACACCTCTGGAAGTGACTATTCACAGAGGGGGAAATGCCTTTATTTTCTCTGCCTTTAAATTTTTGACAGAACAGAATCAACTGATCCAGCATTTGCACACACAACTACCATTTCTAAGTCTAACTTAAAATCTAAAGAAATAGGCGTCAGTTATCTTCACTAGCAAAGACTTGAATAGCCCAAAGCTCAAAACACTGTAAAGATTTAATACCGAAGTATATGGATGACAGGGTTTATTCTCTTCCTCTTGTGTTACCAACCTTGCTAGTGATCCAACTTACTATATAATAACATAATTAGAAGAAAAAAATTATTTACAAACTACTTCAAATGTTATTGCAACTTTTTGCATGTTGTTTCATTATGTTAAAAAGTCTTTTACTGAAAGAGTGACATTAAGCAGAAAAGGGAAGTATTCTAGTTTATGAAGAAAAACTGGAATCTGCGAAATGAGAAGTTCAGTTTAGACTAAACACCACGGGAGGAAATCCTGGTTCCCCTGTGACTGAGCTCTTATGAACATCAAATGGAGCCACAATTCTGCCTTTAGCATAAATATTCAGGGCTGACCCCTTTCAGGAAGTACTGAAGTCTTCCAAAACAGTCCAGTATGAATAAGCAACAGCTATTTCCAGGATTCCTCTAGAAATTAGGCATATCTAAACATTTCGGAAGCCACAGAAAGCATTCCATAATTTATAAGTGAAAAGGCAGTTCTACACATTAAAAAATAAAGCGACCAGACCTGAACAAATACATTGGTTATTAATTATGGTCAGTTTTTAGAAGGGAATTTAATCATTACCTATTAGTCCTGAATTTGTTCCAGTCTTGGAACTGAAAGAGCCTAGTATTTCAAAGAGCAATCACTGACAAGACTGAGAAGAAAGAGCAATCACTGAGAAGTACCACATTGCCAAAAAGAAGCAGCAAGTTTAAACACAATAGAGAGAAAAATGCATACTACGAGGCTGTCCACAATTTTTTATTATCCCAATTTATAACTATCCCTTACAAGAATGAAAGGATATTTCTACAGATCAGAAGGCTGTAATTAACTAGTAAGAGAAGTGAGAAGAATCTCGTGGCTAATTACAACTTTTGGGGGGTTGGAAACGTTGAACGAAAAAAAAAAAACACTTAGGGGAAATGATTCAGTGTTGAAGTCATGTCAGTGTTTTTATAAAAACAAATGCTGCCAAAGTTAACGCAACTTATTCATGGTAGAAGTAGTAGTACATAGGGTCCCAGTTTGTTTTCCTTACTCACAGACAGATTTCTATGTATTTTCCTCTTACACAATTTTGTATGTCAAAGGGCAATGAACAACTCCAGGGGTAACGTGGTCAAGCGCTGCCAGGTTTCCGAAGTATTGCTGTGCTCTATCAGTGCCTCAGAAGTCTAAGAGTTTTCAAGAGCTCTTACTGCATTTGCACAGCGTAAACACTGGTACCTACGTCCCAGCAAATGAGAGGAGGGGAAAGTCAGAAACAGCAGATAGAGTTCCTTTTTAAATATCAACATTCATATCTAACTGAAATAGCAAGATTTCCTAGTACTACTTGTGTTTTTGCTTCTCTTACTGCTACTTAAAAAAAAAAAAAAGTAGGAGTTAATACAATGTTTTACTTCGCTTATAACAAAGATCACATTTATTTCTGGTTTCAAGAAAAATATTTATAAAGTCCTTTATAATGAATACTTCTGTTCTACGGCCTCAGAACACATATATGCTTAATGCCAAGCAGAAAAAAAATAAAAAAAAAATCAATTTCTAAGTGTCAGGTGTCATACATTTATTGCTGCAATTTCCAACACTTTTGTAATGGAAACCAGACCAGCCACTCTTACCCTGTGTTTCCCCATTATCTAACAGACTGGTGTGAAATTCTCTCTCCTAATCTTAACCTAAGGGCAAGCAAATATTTGCTGAAAGGATAAGACCTGTTTGTGTGCCCCAAAGGCAAAAAAACGTAACAGGCCAAGGCAAGATTTCGCAACTAAAAACTGCCACTGAGAATACGCTGAACTGGGGAAGTATTTCCTCTAGGTAGAGCTCTGTTGCCTTTGCCTCATTCAATCCTACCCCGACTCCGCGCTCTGACTAGCTTGGGCTCATTCACTCCAACACTTCCTCTCTTTCAAGCCTCCACTCCATCTGAACTGGTCATGCTGTAATCTGATGAAGAGACTAGGATGTACAAAGTTTGAAGTCAATTCAAAATATACTATAGTATTGTGAATCCTAGCATTCACAACAACTAGTAACAAATTCAACAACTGTTCAAACACTTATTTGTGGTAAAGGAAGGAAGGAAGAAGCATCCTTTTGTCTCACTGGCTCTTCTGTTAAAGGAAATGAACATGGTAAAGATTGGTAGTTTGAACAGAGGGGAGTATTTCAGAAGAGGACAGAAAAGCAGAAAGCACTCAACTGAAAAATACTGATGTTACTCCAAAACTCCTCCAAAATACGCTCTGACTAAAGGCTACAAAAATTAAAGACAAAAGGGAAAAGCACATACTCTATCCTAATAGAGAAGTAGTTCAGCTCGATTTAACCCCCTCCCCAACATACACCCCAATCGCATCAGACCTTACAGCAAACGTTACTCTTACTGCAATTTTTAAACAGCAAAGATATATGACTGTACAGTTTTACCCAACAGAAAAACGAAAAGGCACATGAAAAGGCAAGCAGTATGATCGAGGAGAATTTTTAGAGGATGCTGCGGCCATGAAAGTTCTCCAGCAAAAGCTGTGTAAACGGTCAGTTAAGAATTGATGGTTGCCTTCTTCCCTTATCTTCTACAAAATGGATAGACTGGCTAGTTCTGAGCTTAGCTATGCAATCATTTTGCAATGGGAAGGTTGTGACTTATAGCTCTGAAAATCCAATTAGAGAGATTTAAATTGCCCTCATCTTTTCTTTTTCTGCTGACTTCTCAGTAGTAAACTGTTTTGCAAAAATACAAAACTATAGAGGTCAGCAGACTTTTCTAAGATTGTTGAATGATACGGTTTGGAAGATCAAATCAGTTTGAGACCTACAGATATAGCCCTGATGACTATTTTCCACGTCTTCTACGCGCTTTTCTTTTTTGTCTTCTACAGGCCAAAACAAACATACAAGAAACCCCACACTTCTGTCCTGGAGAAATTCTGTACTGCAAGTCAAATAACCCCCTATCCAAAACAAACTAAAAAATACAATAACTATATATGACTGAATGGGTACATTTATACTAAAAAAAGCTTCATACATTCAAAAAAAAAAAAAAAAAGTTGGTCATTTTTTCCCAAAATGAAAATCATGCCTTGGAGTACAGATGTAACTTCCAGCTCCTTGACAATATCTGTTTCTTTTAGACAACTTCAGATAACTTCCAAAGCCTGTCATTGCACCTATCGTTTTCAGAATATACTTTAATAGAAGATCTTTGCTTTCATCCATACTTTATCAGTTTGACAGTACAGACTGGAGATCAATTCCTCTCCGAAGCTTTGTTCTATCTTTAGGCACTAGTAATAAAGCAAGTAAGAAAAAGAATACCAAACATCCATACTATTGTGTATAGGTATGCATCACGGATTGTTTGTGCCGTCTCTAGCACAATATGCAACTACAATGAAGCATTTAAACCTGACATTTAGGCTCAGCATATGTTAAGAATTCCCATTTTGAAGGGTGATTCTAATCTGAAAGCAAAGAATCCTGAATCCTGGAGGGTACGCATTCAGGTTAAAGACTCTGATCAAGTCATGGTATTAGGGTTGGACAGATGTGAATGAAGTTTTACTCAACAAGCCAAAAATTCATTGATGATATTACCTTAGCATTATAGGTTAAATATTAACAGTTATTTCCTGGCTTCAAGTACGGTATGTTACCAGACATCCGTACAGCATGACCTAGGAGGGACTGTAAATACTTTTGTGATACTGCATTAGAAATGCTTGAAGTAAAATGACATTTCCCAATATAAAATTAAATAGTAACATTACTCTGTTACTGCATAAGAGCAAAAGTTAGGAGAAAGTAAACACTGAATAATTCTTGCTCAAATAGCATTCAGCTAATATATTCATTTGACCAAAGCTTAGTAAGACTAACACAGGAGACCCAGTCTTTAAAGGCCACTTCCTGTATTTATAAATTTCCTGAAATTTATCAGCCTTGTTCTAGAATAACCTTTTGGTGAAAGGAGCAACTCAAACAGTAGGATGTTGAAATGCATGAACACAAGCCCAGTTTGGCAGCCGAACAAGCCACGTAATGACAGATATCATCATAATCCTCTCTTAATGTTCTACTAAAAGATTTCAGTAAAATTAACTTGCATTCTGTTGAAAACCATACACAATAATGCAATTCTCTCTTTTACTGTAGTTATCCTGATAGATAATATACTTTTTGCAGCCATCTTGCCAACACAATGACTGCTGTATAATTTAAGACAGCCTAACATTCTACCTAATGCTCTTTATACTTCAGGAAACCAGACTGTCTATTCAATGTTCATTTTGATAAGAAAGTCTGTCACCAGTTTTATATCTACCTTTATTGCTTATCAAAGACTGCATCATATTTCATCTGTGGAATTAGTTTGCTTTTTTCCTCTCAGACACTGGTCATAATTTAAGTAGTGAAATGAATCACATTTTAACAAAAAAAAAAAAAAAAAAAAAAAAAAAAAGGACAGACAGAAGTAAAATGTTCCTCATCATGTCCAGCATTAGCAGCCTTCTACCTACCAAAAAGTTTATTGAGGGATAGGGAGAGATTTTTCTAAAGTCCTTAAGTGTTCTTCAAAATTTTGCAGAGAGGGTCAACAAGAGGAGCATCAAAATGGGGAAACACACTTTCCCTTTTCTCTTCGAAGTTCACAATCCAAATGTAAATTAGTTCCTTTGCTGTGACTAAGCAAACAGAAGGAAGCTTTTTTATTTACAATTCTAAGAAATTCTCTCCTTCACAGATGCACTGATGTACAGATGACTGGGTGTTCACTTAAAAACACAAGTTTAAGAAAGTGTTCCCACCCATGGTCCTTCGAGATGGAAGCCTCTGAGATTTCAAGCATGAGTCATCTCTTTCTTTTCATTTTCACTGTACAAGTAGATAAGCTGCAGAGTAAAATGGCTTGAGAGCCACCAAATTTAGGAGCAGTGCAGATTATGCAATCTTTTGCATAATCACAATATTTTCCAGTGGAAAAGTGCTTATGTTTTTTGTCCATTTAAGGAACTGAATTTCACTGTAGTCTTAATGCTAAATTTTACTATAGTCTATTGTTTGGTTCATGGTGAACCTATCCTATCACTTACTAGCCAAACATACCTAGATTCACATCTAGATATCTATCACATCCACATCCATAGTTGGAGTTCACAGATAAAGCTCTACCTAAGACAGGCCTTCATACTGCAACGTTCATCTTGTGCATTACGATACACTGAGATATCGTTAGGGTGCCTTTCTTTTAACAACATTATGTGGCAACTGAAGTATTAATTTTTATGAAGAAGACCTGGAGTAGCATAGTCTGGAGATGAACCGAACAGAGATACTAAAACTTAGAGAAGTTGGGGATTTTATCTACCATCAGCAAGGGAGATAACACTGGTAATAGCATTTTCTACACATCAGGGGAGGCAACCTTACCAACTTACTATATTTGTAACAATTCTCCGAATTTATCTGCACTTCGAAGAGGAAGTGGGACAACCAAGCAAGTGTCAGTACATTTTCCCCTACAAGGCAGGTTGAAGTTTCTAGATTTAAGAGCTTTGAACACTATTTTGCTGAATCTTCTGAGCAGCATAATGCCACCAACACAAGAAAACAATATAAAAGAACACAGAACACAAGATGTTGACACCAAGACAGGGGATTAAGTTAGAAACCAGTACAATTCTCTGAGAAAAGAAGTTTAAAAAAGGGGAGGGGGAGAGGCAGAGGCCTCCGAGACAGTTTTAAAAGAGTGAGCGTTTGAACTTCAGCATTCTCCCAAGTCTCATTTATCACACTTTATACAGACACCAAAATGCTTGTTTAACATGCACAAGTTCAGAGGCAGGCAGCTTTTTTGATGTTCTTAGTCCCACATATTCAAGTAGCTTTTGCAAATGACATATTTACAGGATTGGGTCACAATATCACGTGCTAGCTCAAACCTCAGCCAGTACAGAGCTAGCCAGCGCAGGCCAGAGGTGCGTAGCCGTATTATCACTGACTGTGCCTGTGCTAATATGTCCTGCCCCTCAGCAAAATTTATTAGCACAGGACAGCTGTGTGCTAACACAGCTACAGAGGTTCTTAAAATGGATTTGTTCAAGCCCTGCCAGGTCAGAATACATTACAAAAGTATGCGTGACCATTTCCAGCAGACCACATAGCTAAAACTCAAGTGGCTTGATGGCATGACTTGATATTTAGGTAACTAGATTACTTTAAACGTGAATCAAGGAGGAGTCAAAGTAGCCACTGTATAATAAGGAATTATTTGTATAACACTGGACTAAACAGCAGAGCAGTCATAGGCTTGAGAATTTTTGAAGGAAGCAAGAGGAGGAAACTGACACTGTTGAACATTCTTTTAATTCGTTTTCAGGAATGTTTTTGCTCTGAAAAAGAGATAGAAACATCCTTAATACTACAGCGTGCATCACAACAGCGTACTATGGTTTGTAACAGAAACACAGCATTTTGTTTGCTAACAAATGCAGCGGTACTCAAAAAGCTAACACTGTTATAAGATGTTTTTATCAGCTTAAAAATAGAGTCCCCACTACAAGTCTATCACTATTTGGACTGATCATAATAATGACAGCAGGAATTTGGAATTCACTGTTCACAGAGTTCATTATTGCTGGATTTTAGTAAGGATTTAAGTAAGAATGACCATTCCCTGGCTATTGACAATCTGATTACTCACTAGCACACAAAACACAAGTCAGTCGTTACCTTGAATGCAACCAGAATTCAAAAGGTTCTAGGTGCGTAGGTTGATAAACTCAGGAGAATCTAAAAAGAAAAATATTAAATTGTGAAAAATCTAGCCATTTCTTAGGCTATAAACACGTCTAAAGAAACCATTCAACCCACCATTTTTCTGAACTGGTAACGCAAGCTTTGTCAGCTGTTTGTTGGTAACAATCATTTGTACAATTGCAAAATACTACCTGTTATTCAAAAATATGGAACAGTGATCTTGTACTCTAGATGAGGTGATACCACTAGAAACTCATGACATTATCATTCTCAGGTGCTATATTTTTACTCAAGTTCTATGCTCTATTTGTTTTCAGATGTTTGAATCATGTAACGTGCTGCCAAACATGATGCCTGATAAAAAGATTTAAAATTCACTCTTGGCTCAAAATCAGCATTATGATGTTATACTCTTTTTAAATAGCCTCAACTTTAAAGCTTTGGCAGCCCAGCATTCAAAGTTTACCTTTTGTAAACTCATTTAAGATACATCTATATATTGCTCTCCAAGTTACAGAAATATTTTTCATTTAAAGTTTTTTAAAGAAAGGTAAATTTATCAACCAGTAGGTATATACTACTGACAAATCTATTACACTGTTTTGCCTGCCTGTGGAACAGTCCTGCAAAAGAACAGCTTTAGATAAACAGCCAACAGAAACCTTATCCGCTACCGGCCTTTCAGAGAACAAGACATTATACAACCCACTTAACATTTGCATCCAATGTCCAGGCACAAAGCAAGATCCAGAAAGGTAGAATAGCAAGCGTCAAAACAGTTGGTATGGTCATAAAATTTGTAGTTTAGGTATAAAATAACACTATCACACATACAAGCTATGTAAGTAACATATATTCAAGCACATATTCCAGAAATTGTGATTCAACAGCAGTCAAAGCTACATGCACATTCAGGTAACACTGGGAGAAAGTTTCCCCAAAGCCTTGCTCCTCCTTCCAGTAACCCTTCTGCCTTTGATGGCTACCACTGCCGCCTCCTCTCTTTCTCCCTGCTGCAGCTCAGACTGGGGCAGGTTAACTGAGAACTCATTTCCAAACACCAGTAGTGTGTGGGGAAAGTGGCTGTGGGTTATACCCGAATAACTGCTGTATTTTTAACATTAGGAGGGAAAG